TCATCCTCGCAGCCCTCCGCTGGACTCTCTCCAGTAGCTCCTCATCTTTCTTGAACTGGGGAGCCCAGCACTGGACACAGCACTGCAGATGGGGCCTCACCAGGGCAAAGTAGAGGGGAAGGAGAACCTCCTTCGACCTGCTGGCCACACTCCTCCTGATGCATCCCAGGATCCCATGAGCTTTCTTGGCAGCCAGGGCACGCTGCTGGCTCAGTTATCCTTTCGTTATCCTTTTCTCTATCCCGTTTTTCCCTGGGACATCAGGAGTGGGCGGATGAGCATGTGGGGCTGGGGACAGCTTGGGGACCGCCTGGAGCCAGCTGGCGTTACAAGAGCTGGGCGTGGGGTTGGGTGCAAGGGGAGCAGGACGGCCCAGGACCGGGGGTGTCACTGCCGTGGGCCATCGCCGGGATGTTCTCCTCAGGGCATCGCCGCCACGACACGAGCAGTGTTGGAGGTGCATAGGTTGACAGCTGCTCCCTTGAAGCGTTTGGTGCCACCTGGGATGGCGCGGGGAGCAAGTGGGGCTCCAAAAGCCCGGATGAAGCATCCTGAAGTGAAGGAGGTGGCAAGGCGGCGGTCCTGTCCCCGGGGTGCCAGGGCAAGCTGGGAGCGGGGTGCTCCCATCCTGGTGGGTGATGCTGTAGCGGGGCAGGAGGGGATGCTCTCCCGGGGCTGCTGTGGGGTGAGCTGAGTTTCCCCGGGCTCTGCCGCGCTCACACTCTGCCCGCAGACCCCGCTGACTGGAGCCCCGGCAACGTGCAGAAGTGGAAAAAAAAAGCCGGACCCCCATTCCCGGCTGCCGCAGATCGGGAAGTCTTTCCAGGAGCTGTCGGGAAAGGACCTGTGTGCCATGTCCGAGGAGCAGTTCTGCCAGCGCTCGCCCGCCTGCGGAGACATCCTGCACGCCCACCTCGATGTCTGGAAGTCTGGTAGGTGCCGGGGACAGGGAGGGAGCTGGGGAGGGTGGGTGACGCTGTGCAGCAGGAGGTGCCCCTCTGACCACCCGCTCCTCCCTTCCAGCCGCCTGGATGAAGGAAAAAGCCGCCCCGGGAGACGTGAGATACTGCGGTGAGTTCCGCACGGGCTCAGCTCCACTGCGCTTGCCTCTGCCTCAGACAGGTCCGGGGTATCTGAGAGTTCACTCCCTGCTTAATTGCAATTATCTGGCGCGCTGGAGTGGCTGCTGCAGCAGCATCCATGTGGTTGCCCTCCCACTGCCCTGGAGCAGCCCCTGGGCTGTCTGCAAGGGGTAGCAAAGGGCCAAATGGCCATGAGACCCTTGCCGGCCCCGGCCCGCACCCCGTGCACCCCTGCGGGGCTGTGCAGGGGCAGGACCGAGCGGTTTTCCTGGCTCCGAGATGGGGAGGAGGAAGTGGTGGTGC